TTATTGTTATTGTTATTGTTATTATTATTATTATTATTACTACTACTACTACTCATCTGGTTTAGGTCGATGTTATCTAGTGCCTTCCGGTTGAAAGGGCGAGTTAAACTGAGGTATTGATCTTGATGCAAATAGTAATTAAAATTGATTTTGTAGACCCAGAAAGACCCGCCGAGCAATCCGCAAGAAGAATCCGCTCAAGAATTTGAACGTGCTGATGAAGCTGAACCCTCACGCTAAGAGTGTCAAACGGGCTGAAATGCTGACTGTAGAGCGGAGAAGGGCTGCTAAAGAGGCAGTACTGAGCAAGAAGAGAGAAGGAAAATGAAATGCTCAACTGTTAACGCTGTAATGAAAGGACGAATAAAACAGCAGTGAATTCAGTGTAAAAATCGTTTGTTGGTTTTAGGCTCATTTTATGACCCCAGCAGGTTTATTGACATGATAGATTTCCAGTATGCTCGTGCTGTCTATCAGGAGTTAAAAATGATAGCTTAACCGCGGGATTCATCTAGCCCCTCCAGCTCGATAAAGAAAATAATCTATTTATAGTTATTAATGTTATGCTAACATACTGATATAACAGTTCACTATAATCACAAAGTACAGATTCCCTCGTAAGGATTGTTTAGACTAGCCCATTCCAGTCTGTAGCCGTGAAAAAGTGCACTCCTAGGTCTTCAACGCTCGCTCCATGTGCTTTTAGAGAATTCCTCCTCCTGCTTGCAGAAGAAAAATATTCAACAGCATACTCCAGCCAGTCCTCTGGCTTGTCTCGTAGAATTACCAGGACGAATCCTTCAAGCAGCTCCACAAGTCCTGGAGGAATTGCACTTTTTCTCGAGTGGGATGCCATGTTATCCATAATGTAGTGGGCAGTTCTTCCGTCAATACAGTTGGGAATTATGACGTTATCTGATTCGCGCGTGCAGCGTCGTCCTCAGAGAAAGCGCGGGGAGAGTGAACTTTGGGAACCCTCTGACCATCGCCGAAGCTCGTGGGCTCTATTTTTCTGGAACAGTACCGCTGGCCAAAAAAAACTGCAGCTTTGGAGACCAGGCGGAACCCTGTGCTAGATTAGCTGCGGAGAGCACAACGGTCAAAGGTCGTACATACCCAAGGAGATCAATTAATGGCAAGTTGCAGGACAATTTTAAAGGAAAACAACATCTATCGCACAAAACATTCGAAAGAACTGAAACGCGCATATAAATCTGAAAATATAAGTAGAGGAAAGGAAAACTCGAGACTTTTCGACCATAGAGCTTGTTTAGTTACGGCTACCCTCTTCAGCTTTATCAAAAAGTTGATACAGATTTGAAACATGTGACTTATCAACAAGTGTAACTGTCTGTTTCTTCTTTTTCGCCATTAAGCCACCCCAAAGCTCGCTCATGTGTTTGATCGCTTAGTTACTTCGAAAAGGATGGCACGCTCAGGTCGATATTTATATTTAGTAGCTACACATTTTCGGTAATTCCACTGATCAAAATCGTTTTATGATGTAGGGAGTGGTCTCGAAAAATATTTATAGACCTAGTGACTAAATTTATACAGTAAGGAAAAAGCGAAAAATAATTCAAAAATGCTAGATAACATCTGATCTGCGTTTGCCATGCGGTTGCCGTGCGGTTGCGGTGCGTTTGTCATACTGGGCGACCAGTGGTATCATAGTACTGAACTATGGTGGTATCCGACATTAAAACTCAAACCCTTTTCTATGTCGTGTTACGAACGAGAGAGTTAATCGGTTAAGTCGACTGAAATAAAGTTAGGGGAAGTTAAAAGTACGTAAGGAAACTCAACGAAATCAAAGGATTCATAGGCAAAAAAACAAAAACAAACAGAAAAAACTGTGAGGTGTAGAACGACAAAAAAGCTAAAACAAAAGCACGGTTGTGTGCGCACGCGTACAGGAAATTCATGGAAAATTCCGTGGTCAATGAAGTTATTTCCGGGCTTGTTTTTGTGTTTGTTTGTATTCAGGCGGAAGCGCTTGCTACCAGCGGGGATTCTATCGTGAGAGAGGGCGTGAAACACGCTATCAGCGAAAACCTAGAATTTATTCTTTATATTAGATGACCGGGGACATTCGAGTGAATAGGTGACATTCGTTAACCTTGTATTCGGCGTAATTTGCCTTAGTAGTGTATTACAAAATTTGTCAGTGAACAAGCGGTCTCTTAGTAGGTGGCTAGCTGCTTTGGGCTGAGCTAATGGCTATAGAGAAAACTAACACCCAGACGGGCGTTCAGACAGTCCATTAGTCATTGACCGAATCTCGACCTGGTAGTGTCTTAGTTTACGTGCACTGAAATAATTCCTTTAAAATCCTAGCATGACTGTTGTCGCTTAAGATTTTATCGGATAATAAGTTATGTTTTAAGATTATAATCTCTTTCCTGAGTCAATTAAAGTGATTAAATGCCACGAGAGAGATAACTGTGGTTATTTTTTATCGTATATGGTTAACCAAACCGGGGAATAACAGGAGCTGCATATTTTTACGAGGAGTCCGTTCAATTCAAGAATATTGGTGGTTGCCCTGGACATATATTTTTAGATCTTTTAGCCAATTGTTCAGATATCCACCGTGACCGTGTTAAGAAGTTCGCGTGAGGGCTTCGCAGCTTTCCGTGATAAATACTCGGGGTGACATTTCGATCACCTTATTTAAACCTGTTGGATTTCATTGAAAGCGGCCATAAAATATTTTCGCAGCAAGTGGCTGGGAGCAAGGCGAACGGACATTTTATGAAAAGTTCGATTGCTTGCGACGGAAATTTGGAGAATGCATCAGAAGATTACAGCAAAACATGGAAAGTTTTCGTCCCATTTGGTGAACCCGGTTTGTATTACAGAGGATCTTATTTGTCTTCTAGAAGGTTTCACCATAACAGCTATGAATGAAAAACCCCGAAATGAAGACTTAGTGGAATTTGCAGCCAGTTATTTCGAAGAAATACGAAACAAGAGAAACTTGCTGGCGGAGAGAGGGATTGGTAACTTCAGAACTGGTTTATACCTCAGTAAAGAATGGAATGGACAAGTATGACACTGCCATATCATTTTGGACTACAAAAGTTGTTGAACTAATATTTCGTAATTTGGAGACTTAAAACTGACTTGGCACACTGATGAAGGACGAAATTTGACGGGATTACTGTCAGCGGAGGAACGGAAGTGCCATCGAAGACAATTTAAAGCGTTGTTTGGCTGCATTTTGAGTAGATGTAGGGAATCTATACCGTATTTTAAAGACAAGTTAAGCCAAAAAGTTTGAGGGGAGTACATGTACAAGTGCTATTACGAATTATGTAAATTAACGGAATATTTCACACTGGGCTGAAGAATCATGCGGACAAACAACAACCAGTCTCTAGTTTTAGAGGCATCATTATATCGTATGTATTGCCAGTTCACCGTGCTTCCAGTTGAAGAAGAACACTATGATTGGACTCAATGTTTGAATCCATCAAGTGAAACGTGGAATCACGTAATCAACTTGAAGCATGTTCAAGGTTTAAAAATGTTCTTCGGTTTTCAGCGTAGGCGAAGAAGTTGTTAAGTATCAAATTTCAGGGTTTATAGAAGAATTCGTCCGAACTAGCTAACTTTATCTTGTGGAAGTGAGTTATAATAACTTAATTCAACCGTGACTCCATTCATTAAAATGCTCCGCATATGTTCCCATTAGGTATATTGTGTGTGGGATTCTAAGTTCAAAATCGTGGTCACGAAATAAATACAGATTGATGACTAACATATCCAGTATCGAGGTTTACGCAAAAGTTTGCCAAGGCCTTAAATAACATTTTAATCTTGTTAATTTGTTGACAGGAATCCAGAAGACTTTATTTTAGGCGGAGCAAGATGCGTCTTAGGCGATGTAGATGTTTTTGTTCGGGGGATAACAGTCTCAATTACAAAAGGAAAGGAAATGGCACATTACTAAGATATTCGTGATCACCAACGACATGCAATCAACAAAACAATAGGACGCAATTTTTTCGAGAAGGCAACTTATCTATAGAAACTCACATCCTTTTATTTATACTCCGTGAGTGCGTAGGAGTGTTAAGAAATTTCGGGAAAACATCCGGAAAAACGTAACAGTACTTGAGCTTGTTCTTACTCTTAGAAGCCATGAAACACGTCCGCAACAGACAAGCCTTCAAACCACAACCCTCTTTCTGGAAAAATAACTACATTTTGGGGTTTTTTGCCGACTCATTACGGCAAAAGACCTTTTTAAAATCTCTTACAAAGCTCTCCACTGCAAGAGGCTTAAAATTTTCGGACCTGTTACTTTTAGTTATTTGGCGGGGTGTGAATTCAAAACCGTTTCTTTTTTTTTTATCCTCATTTCAGAATTTTTCTTCATTCGTTTTTGAATTATAGGTTTACTGTGTTAATCTCAGTCAAAAGAAACCGTCAAAATTTCGTGCAAATAACAACAATGACTGATGTTCTAGCGCCACGCTTTCTCTGTCCTTCTTTTGTTCCTGAGATCTACGACTGAACACAGGTCAGTTGGAAGTTATTATTTGGTTAAATGGATCAAATTATTATGTAATGTAAGCCACTTATGGCGGACCGTCTGTAAAGCTATGAAGCGCCAAACATGCACGGAAGGAAGATGTCAAGATAAGAGTAAAGTAGTCTACAGATATACTCTACATGCATGGCCTTGGCTGCCGTCTCGTGACAATTTTCATCTTAAAGCCATACCAAAGAAATTCAATAAAATAGTGACACAATATGAAACGCCTACGCTGTTCCACCTTCGGAAGGGGCAGGATGTAAATTACTGCCCGGGGGAGCCGGCGCTTTTACTAACGATTTCTTAAAAAAAAAAAAAAAAGAAAAAAGAGTTTCCCTATACGCCCAGTGTAAAGATATAAAATTTCTCCATAACTTGTTTCAGGTTTTTCTTTCCAGTAAGGTTTATAAATATTTGTGATTCCCGACTTGACTCAAAGCCAAAAACCTGTCAACTTATTTTTTAATCCGTTGTTAATCTGCGTGTTTTTTGCTGATAGGAGTAAGCTCTACATCGATAGAAGTCTCTTGAAAAGGCACATGAATTGATAATAATTGAGCTAATTAGACTGGAGGACAATCATTACCTTGTAAAAAGTAATGATCAATGAACTGAACAAAATAAAAGACTACCCGCCCACCCACAATTTTTTTCGGCGTGTGTCCTCCGGAAGTTAAGGTCCAGTCGTCTTCATTTATCACCTCATGTACCCGAGACAACCCTCCCCCCCCCCACGAGACAACTTTACAGAGCGTTTGTATGAAATTTGACATCTGCTAACCTCGTTCGGCTAGGCCAGGTTGCATATTCGACAAAGTGGTAGACGTAGGCGACAGGAAAAAAAAGCTGTAAAACGCACGTGCACTGGTTATAGTGTGCGCACGCATTTCCTGTTCGGGTTTCGTCGTCTCGGATGGGCGAGACAAGGTGTTTACATGAGAAAAAGTTGTCCTGCCTGCCAAGGTTACCCAACCTGCCGAGGTGAGACAACTTCCACGCCCCCCCAGGTTTTCTTGCCTACCTGAGACCAGTTACAACCTCATTTAAACGGTCGGCTGGATTTTGTAAAGAAATGAGTGAGAAGTTAGCTCGCCCAGGGTAACTCGGAGGGAGGATTGTCTCGGTAAAGTAGTTGCGAACATCAGCAAATGTGGATTCGGGGTACGGTTGAAACAGTTACGTCATAGTCCTCCGAGTTTGTTTCCTCTTGGCCTAGCTACCTAGCTGGCGCGGTTTTATGTGCGTGAAACGAACAGCGAGGCTCCCTAGAGGTCTGGGACGCCACCCAATGCTCTAGCTCCAACACAAAACCGCCGGCTTCGAAGGCTAGCTTCTTTGTGTTAATACATTTTCTTGGGGAGAAGCTTTCAACAACTTGAATACCTTTTCCGAGGGCAGAAAGGCTACAAAGTCGCGAAGAGAACTGTCTTCCGATTTCTTTGAACTAAAATAGCTTTTCTCGAGCACTTATGGGAAGTTTGAGCGAAACTTTATAAATTTAAACTCAACTCAACGTTCATCGCTGTTTACGTTCTCTCGCCATAGGTTCATTTTTGGTAGAAATTTCGCTTTTTTTTTTTAAATCAGACGAATCTATACTTTTCTATGTTATTCGTGAAAAGGAAATAACAGTTGTTTTGACATGGTGCCGGAGGGCTTTGTTCACGGACATTTGTTCACGGGCATTTGTTCACGGACATTTGATAATAAATCACAATTCTTTCACTGCGAGCGTTTCTGTGTGAAGGCTCTTGAGAAACCACCAAAAACAATGCCTAAAGCAGTCTTTACGAAATAAGCGTCACTGTTGCTAGGCAACAACTTAATTTAACTAATTACACTCAAGTGTATCGTGTTGGTCTTGAAAGCAAGCGATAAATTTAATGCCTTTTACGCACACGCAAAATCAAGGAATTTCATCCAGGAACTAAAGGGATTTAGCATAGGGAGCAAGAAGTCGCCTTGAAGGTAAGATATCTCGGCGGTTTGCATGTCTGAGTCCAACAAAAGTATTCAGGAGATATCACTTTCAGTGCTCATGTGGATATTTTACACTGATTTTCAATATAGACACTTGTCTGTTGTGCATCGAACGTAGCGTTGTTTGTTTGTTTCTCTCTTGGCCTACTATGTTTGCTGGCGTATACCACAGACTTGTTTGTTTACAAAGCAATCATAAAGAAACGTCGCTATTTGATGACAAATTGTATTCTACTAGTTTAAACACGCCTGGACCATGATAAGTGAGTGATTTTCTTACAATAACAAAGTAGAAAAATCATAAGCGGCCGTGATTTTACAAAAGGCTACTTGGCAACTGCGCGTGAGTGAGCAATCGTTCGATTTCATCGTTGCATCGGCGAACTGTCACTAACGGCATAAAGTCAATGTGTCAAATTCTCAGAGATGACGATTTTGAATTTTCTAACGCTAAAAGAACTAAAAAAAGCTGGACGCGGAAAAAACTTTGCGAATTTTTCTACTGTTGCACAAACTAAGGCAATTGTATTTAAAAGTTGTCTTGAGCAACATTAAAGTAAAAGCTTGTATTCTCGCAGAATGCAGCTGTGTTAGTTCGCGTAAAATTGTTCTATAATTAATCATAAATTATTCTTAAACTAATGCGATTGGCGCTAGTTTTTGTTCTCCGATCGTCGCAGTTTACAATCACATTTCTAGTTTACTCGGCGAAGTTGCTCCTAAGTTAACCAGATATCGGACATAATTTCATCAACATTTCGCCAATATGATATGAAATTTAATATCAAACAATTGATTATCAAAATTATCATCAATATTGGGAGCATTTTACATAATTAACGAAACTTCACGCTGTTTGCGCAAAGCTTGTATCTGTTAATATTCATAACAGTAACATAGTGATCTTTTACATCACGAGATTTTGGCTTTTTTCTCAAAAGACGTTTGCCGCGTTGGAAGAGATTGCCAAACTACAGATATTAGCCACAAAATTTAGAGAGTGCCTTTCATGCATGCAATCCGACTCCAGCCAAAACTTTAAATAAATAAAGGGGGTAAGTTTCTAAAGAAACTGTGGTGCCACAGGATAATTTGTATTAATATTCGCTCTGACGAAGGGCTAACGCTCGAATCTTAAGCTTTAGAGTCTCTCTATGGCGCCAATTTATATTATAAACTCAGCGGGGTGATAAAACTAAATTTTCTGGTTTGGCCAAAACAGGCAAAGACGCAACGACACAAAACAAAAAAGGCAGAACCAAGATAGTTTGAATGAAAAAAAAATTGAAATATTATCGAGGTCGAAATTGAAATCCTTTGCTTTCTTCTATGAAACGAGTGAGTGTGTTTCTTTTCGCATCTGGTTTCTGCAATAAATTTGTTTTATGTCAAAGGAAATTAACGGCCGAGAGATTTGCGCCACTTGAAATGCATTATACCTCTCAATAATCTTTTGGAGAATGGAAAAACACTTTTAAAAGTGTTAAAATAAATATTCTGCTAAAATAATGGACACTTCGAGATTAAAACCTTCCGGTCTGTTCTGAGCCGAGCCGGATAAAGAGAAATATCTGGCATAAGTTTTCCCTCAAAAGCAAAGTTAACACTGTCCCTGTCACTGTTTATTACAAGTTACGCTTGTCATTTTTTTTTTAACAGGGATCCGCCTGATAGACTGCGAGGTCATATGTGAGAATCTAGGGTCTTCAACTCAGAATCAATCTTAAAACGAAACTGAATATGTCCGCCACAAGTAACGATAACATAAATGTAGGTCCGCATAACGTACCGACTCTCAGTGTACAAGAAGTGGTAGATTCCAATCAGAATGTAACAGCTTTTAGCTCGACTAGAGGCAGCGCACAGATCGAATGCAAGTCAGGAATTATCACTGAGGGAGAATCCAAAAGTCGACAAAGAAGCGGGCGAAGCCAGCAATCGAGTGGTGAGTCACAATTGAAATTGATTCTAGCATGAGTCGACGAAATTCGAATCACGATCAGTACTGCGTATTCAGTTGAAAATGGAGGAATTGAATAAATCGGTTTCCGTCGAAAAAGCTTCATTCAACTATTATTACGAAGGGAGTTCGCTGATCACAGCTATTCAAACCATGGGAGATGGGTGCTTTCGAGCTGCTTAATAAGTATATCAGCCGATAAGATGCTTCAACAATCTCATTATCTAATCAGGAAATTTGGTTTTAATTTTTTGATTATCACTCTTCCAGGGAAAGGCTAATTTTTTAAAATTTCATGCTCACCTTTTTTTTTCTGAAACTTCATTCGATAACTCTATAAGATATGGCGAAGTTAAAAAGACTTCAAAACTTTAGATAATCTATAGTTTAATGAAGTTTATTGTTTTCTTCTTGCAAAGAGAGAGCAAGAAGCAACAACGAGCTTTTACTTCTTTACTTTCAACAGCTAAATCTAAAAGGGCAGGTACAGGCAAAAGCAAGCTGATCCCAGTCCCCACTCCAGCTAAGGACACTTCCAAAGAACAGATTGGCTCAGATGCGGAAGCTGGGGAGAACAGTGATTATGATACAGATCTGGAATTCGAAGAACCTCGTCTAGAATACGACCCAACAGGTAAAATAAATAGCATATTAGACTCCTTTGTATATTGGCACACAATTTTTATTCACCGGATAGGAACTCTATAGTAATTCCTTTGTGTCAATGAGCATTTTTGTGGTCATCGTTTCTTTGAAACCTAGAATAGTTACATTATATTATTATTATATATTATATATTATTACCTATCATATATTATTATAATATACATATATTTAACAATTATTCACCTAAGGTTCGGTGAATATCGTCAAATAATCCCCAAGACGAAGTCGAGGGGATTATTCGAAAATTTTCACCGAACCTGAGGCGAATAATTGTTTTAGTGTAATTTCAGAGCTGAAAGATGAACGATAGACCGAGTAAATTCATCGTGTCTTTAAATTTGACAACAAATGAACAGAAAACCAAGACGTTAAGTGACAGTTATATTTCGGTATAAATTATACCATCATCAGACTGAAAATATATACAAAATTAGGATCTTAAATAGTTACAAAAGGTATACTCAAGAGAACAGGCAAAGTTCTCTGCTGGATTTTAATCCATTGTTAAGTGGTGGTGAATGGCGCTTAATGTGGAAGGCCTCTTTGTATAATAACAGGTTCCAATTATCGTCATAATCTAACACTGTGGTGTTATTCTGAACTACATTGATTGTGTATTCATTATTGCCGAAAACAGTTGGTGAGATGATGTTATTTAAAGTATCCGGTAAATTAAATAAATTATGGATAAAGGTTCAATGTTCGCAAGTGCGTAGATGTTTGTAAATCGCACTCTCTTTATCAGTTAAAGCATGTTCACGTGTTCTGATGAGAAAGGTTCTATCAGTTTTACCAAGTAGGATGACTGACAGCCAGGACAACTGAATTTGTAAGCATAGTTCTGTGGTTTTCTCGCGAGTTCTAATCTGGGTGTTAGGGTTTTTTTAAGTGTCTTCGCAGCTTTCGTTTGAAGGAACGTAAAAGTTGTGATGTTTTCTTGCCAATGTAGGGAATAGAAAGCCAAATGGTGACGGGCTCATCTTTATCTGTTCTCTTGAGTATACCTTTTGTAACTATTTAAGCTCCTAATTTTTTAGGTATTTTCAGTCTGGTGATGGTATAGTTTATACCAAAATATAGCTGTCACTTAACATCTTTGGTTTTCTGTTCATAGACCACTTTCATAATTGGCTTCCGGATTAATATTCTTTTGTCTAAATTTTAAATTAGCCCTTCTGACCTCGTTCTCCAGTAAAAAATTCAAAAGAAACATTATCTCAAGCGAGGCCAGAAGGGCTAATCTAATTTTAAACAAAAAAATATTAATCCAGCAGCCATTTATGAAAGTGGTCTATTTGTTGTCAAATTTAAATACACGACGAATTTACTCGGTCTATCGTTCATCTTTTATGTTCTCAAATTATCATCTGGTTCTGGCTTTCAGAGCCAAACAACAGAGCAATTTCTAAAATCATAACATTTTAGTAAGTTAAACATTTATTAACATTTTATTTTAACATTTTATATAAACCGCGTGGAGCGGTTTATATAGCGTTATATAAGGAACCGCTTGACCAATCAGATTGCTAGAAACTCTTTGCTCAGCTCTGAAATTATACTAAAAACAATAATTCACCCTAGTATCAGTGTCCACTTCAGTTAATAGTTAACTATCCGTTCTTGCTTGGGTTTCAAATTCTTAACACCTGTACGCTTAACAATCTATTGATATTATAAGGAGAAATCAGTTCCTAATCAAAGGCGAGAATTGTACTAAAATTCCCAATTAACGCTGAGACTGGGACCTTTGATGCCCGCCCAATTTGAAAAAATTCTCCGCATTAATTATAGTTTATTCTTTTTTTGGAGTGAAATTCCTGGCGCTTATTCAAGCCGAAGGGTGCCAGAGAGAACAGCTGTGCGCTCCAATATGCTTCTTTGGTAATTAGAAGTTTCTCGATGTTACCTGAATTGTTTACTGTTGCCTGCACTTGATCAATGCATTGGAATGAGAAATCGCTTAAATCATGCGGTGTTTTGTTAAAATGTACCTCTACTTCACAGGTCTTTTTCTTAGTGACCATAGCAGACTTGTGGTTGCGAAATCTAACCAGCGAAAATGTAACCAGCGAAATCTAACCAACTGTTCTCCCTGGCACCCTTCGGCTTGAATAAGCGCCAGGAATTTAAATGTTTAAATGTTATTCTGTAATCCCTTAGTGGTTGCATAATAACAGACATGTCAACTTATTTAAGAAATTTATAGTTTTAATTCTCTCTCGACTACTAGGTCGAAAGGCATACCGGGATGCTTGTTCTCAACTCGGTATCATCCCAGTCTCCTTTGTCATCGAGCACATCACAAGAGAGGAAATTAACATTAAACACCACGGCCTGGGTCCAACTGGAGCCCAAGCCATCGCAGCTGCACTCATGCGAAACACGAAAACGATGAAACTAAATCTAAGAGACTGCGCAATAGGTGAGATTTTTCTTTCCTTTCAGGCATGCCCTTAAGTTCTTGATAAAATATTAATTCTCAGAAGTAGATCTAAATCATATCAATGCATTTTTAACTCTAATATCTTTTGCTTCTTTTCCACCTTCCATCCAGAACCAGAAGGCAGTATACACATCGCCAGATTACTACGAGAAAATTTTTACATCACTGAGCTGGACCTTGCTGAGAACAAAATCAAAAGCCCTGGCGCGAAAGCTATAGCTGAAGTGCTTAATGATAACAACACCATAAAAACCCTGAACTTATCTTGGAGCGAGTTCAAAGACAAAGACGCCGCTTGTCTGGCAGAAGGAATTCGAGTAAACCAAACTCTGGTGTGGCTCGATTTGAGTCATAACAACTTTTGTGAAGAAGCCGGAGTGTTACTCGGTAAGAAATACCAATCTTTGATCGAGTAGAGTAGTCGTCAAGGTGAGGTACGCAGCCAGAAAAGGTCTCTAATCTCTTGTCGGTAACAGTGACTGACGCCTACTTCGACAAACTAAGCACAGCAGTCATCATTAGAGTCAAACGAAGCGCTATTTGCAAGTCGTATTTCATATTTGAAAGTCTGGTTCCTTGAAAATGGACAATTTTGCTGTCATTTTGATTAATCTGAGGACTCACCAACTACACTTTTACAATAGTTGTTCAAGTGATTCGGGGATGCGCGCGCACCCTGATTGGTCGACTTATTATTATAATCACCTAAGGCAAGGTGGTTATAATACCAACGAGATTGCCAACTGGCATTCCCTTCGAACTCATCTCCAGGATTGTCAGTCGAAAAGGCTCTTCAGCTTTAGAGAATAATTGTTCAACAACTTTCGACATACAGCTTGACACTGATAGTGACTTTCACCCAGGTCGACGAAACAAGAGATTATAAACAGTGTATAATATCTTGCGAGGATTCAATCTATTGCGATCACCGACAATAACCTTTTAAGGCCCACTCACTGGCAGAGCTTGAGATCGCTCTCTACAAAAGCATTTAATGAGGACTACTCAAGATTTTCCACGCAGCAGTAAGGAGGAGTCAAAATAAGTCGAGACTGAATCATCCGTACAGGTTTTCCCTGAGAGGACAGTTTTTCTCAGGACAGTTATTTAAAGACAGTTACTTTAAGCCATCTGATATTACAAAAAATGATGTACGCAGGTGTTTCGTAATTATTTTTATGTTTTAACAGATGTAAGAAGTAAACTAACAAGCTTGGAACTAACAGTTAAATCAGAGGAGGATTTTCTCTCTGAGTGTAAACTACACTCATTTTAATTCATTAAATAATTTTTAACAAACTTGGGTTGCAATTTGACCCGAATTGATACCAGATTTTGCATGCAATTTACCCAGCTGTACTCTTTTAATTGTGCTTTCACAATAACAATTTTACAATATTTCCTCTAGGACCCGCCATTGATGCGAATGGTGGATTAGAATATCTCAACCTTAGCTGGAATCATCTACGAGGAAAGGGTGGCATTGCTATCGGCAGAGGACTCCGCGCCAACTGCAGCCTGAAGACACTCAACCTGTCTTGGAACGGGTTTGCCGATGAAGGTGCAGCCGCAGTTGGAGAATCACTAAAAGCAAATAACACACTGACTGACTTAGATCTGACTAACAACCGGATTTCCACTCAAGGTGCTCTGGCACTCAGTAAAGGAATTCAAGTCAACAACACTTTGAAGATATTAAGGTTTGTAAAAACTTATACTTTACATAGATGCACGACATACACTGGTGAGATGACGACGGATGACGTAAAAAATCCTCTTTGAATGCTTTGATGAAAGCAGTGAACGAGATATTCATGACTAAAGACAATTTTAGTGACAGTACTTCTCTCCAGCCAAATTTACAATAGCAGACTCAGAAAAAAAAATAAAAAGGACAGAAAGGCCTCGAGTAACAGGCCAGCGGGTGGGTTTAGAGGGGCCAGCGGGTGGGTTTAGAGGGGCCAGAGGGGCCAGAGGGACCATCCTTTTCGCGGTGCTATGGAAGAAGGCCGAAAGTTACCAGGAACCTCAGTTTTAAAGTGTTGATGAAGAATTTCAGTTATTCCTAAAGGGTGAGAAATATTACAAATTTTTCCGAAGTGAAGACATGATCCTCCTAGATGAGCTACAATTTTAAGTAAATACAGAAAAGAATATTGAGGCTTCGACGAGATTCGAACCTGTGCTTCGCAGATACTGGTTGGGTGATGCTACCAACTGAATTAAGAAGCCACATGTTGGGGGCGAGGCACTTCACCTGCGAGGATCATTTCTTCATTTGTTTTAATCCGCAGACCAAATTAGGATTTATCGCATTAATACTGCGTTAATTTTTTCTCTAATACATAGCATGGAAAGTAGGTATTAAAGATAATCTTCTCGCATAACTTTATTGCAGAATTGGAATGAATCCCTTACAAAATGCTGGTGCTTTAGGCCTCCTCACAGCCATGAAGAACAACCTCGATACAGCGTTAGAAAAAATTTTGCTCAACAGTGTTGTGGTTACCTTAGAGACCCAGGCCCTCGTAGAGCTCCTTTTGGGTCAACATCCGGGACTCACTATTACCTGCACTTTTAGTAAACGCTCTGGAAACCTATCGGAGGAACTTGACAGTCTTTACGGAAAAAACAAGAAGAACGACTTGATCTATATTCTCAAGCGATACGTCGAAGAGAAGAATTATAGGTTGGTGGACTTGTTCAACCAGTTTGACAAGGACAATAGCTTATCGGTGACCAGAGAGGAATTTCGGCAGGGGCTAAAAGGCATAGGTGTGCCCATGACCGATGATCAGCTGACCGCATTGATTGACATGTTGGATGACGACGGGGACGGTGAAATTGATTACGGTGAATTCACGTGGATAAATGAAGTAGAATAAATGACCTGCTAGTTAAATATGCTCACGGAAGCGTGTCTCGAGTAAGATTCTCAGAATGGAAAGAAATGATGAATGTACGAAGAAGTTATTTTGAAATTGTAAGTGCAGATCACGGAACGGTAAGGCGAGAACATCCTCAGAGACCCAGGGGCTGTGAGTCGATTTCAAGTAAAGGGCAGAAGAGCTCTTCTGCCCTTAACTTGAAATCGACTCACAGCCCCTGGGTCTCCAAGGATGAGGCGAGAAGTGAACATCTACATAATTTCCTGATTTGATACACGATACTAGTACGGGACGCTTTCTTCTAGAAACAAAAACAGTTTTTTAAAAAAAGCATTGCTCGATAAAGAATTTGAATAATCATAGTTTGCATTAATTTATTATCAGTTGCTCTCAATCGATTGAAAATTATATTAAATAAAATATTAAAGTGTGCATGTGGTTATAAGAAGGATCGACAAAAGGGAATGTTTGTTGCTAATTAAAGCACTGCATATGATCATAAAATTATCAACCGCAGAAATGAAAGTTTCCGAACGAGTCTTTTGAAACTGTCATTGCATGTAAGAAAGCGTTCCTCGCAGTGATGAACCCTACTTATGTAGTTCTGGAAATGAGGCCTGAAAAAAACTCAGGCCCGTGAGGCATTTGAACCCATGACCTCCGCGATACCGGTGCAGTGCTCTACGAACTGAGCTAACAAGTCAACTGGGAACTGGTCGGCATTATATGTGTTGGTCTGTATTAACCCCGTTTAATACGGGCGCATTTGCATCACTCCTCCCATCCAAGTTTGCTCTGAGGAGGTGCGATGGGTTTAATTGCTCTTTCGTGTTCTGTCCAAAATTTTTGATAGCAGGAGTACTGCCTGCGGGGCGAAAAACATGTCATGTTATGTTGCACAACACGTGTTTACAACATTCGAATGGTTACGTAAGGTGCCGTGTAACTTCTTTTCAACTGACAAAGTGCACGCACAGTCTTGAAAATTCTTAATTGAGGTAACCCTGAATGAATGAGGGAATACAACTAACTGGGGTCTAACTTTGAAAGCATCTTTGATCCCTCTTTTCCAGTTCTTTCACCAAGTGGTACGCAGCTCCATCTGCTGTGCTTACCTCGCATGTGTGAACATTAATACCTTAAGCCCGATCAAGCTCAAATCCGGCCAGTTTACGTCAAAGATTTAATGAATTTGCATGTATGCTCAATCACCATTAAGTCGATCTCTACCGTGATTATATAAGTGCAATCAGCTCACGAACGTGTCAAATTTATGTAACTTAGTTTCTTTGAGTCCAACTCAGCTGTTAACTTAACAAAAGTGTTGCGTAATGACGTGTCTACTAAAAATTTCTTGTTTTGAACTGAAAGTCGTTGTTTTAGGATTATGCCAGGACATAGAGAACAAAGGAACCTCTCATGACAAAAGACGTTTTGTTGAGGGCGGAGATATCCGGGATTCAGCTGAGCTGTGCTCCTCCTTATTCCAAAGTAATTGCCGGCCGGTGAAATGATACCATTGACTGGTTATTATTAGCTTCATAAATTCTTACGCGCTGGCTTTTTTTTTTTTTTTTTTTCAATAAATGACATAATTTTCAATTGTTGCAGCGGCTACTTGCAACGGACGCAAAGCCAGTTTGCTACGGCAATTCATTTTTTGCACGCACACTACAAACGAAGCCAAACACTAGAAGGTTGTAGACATTCAGTTGTAATGCCAACCAGGAAAGTGAAACCCGTAGGTGTTTTTGCTGCATCGATGCAGATCCCATTTCGTTGGAAGTGCTGTTTACATCGATCGTGGTAACGACAACAAAGAATGGTGGAATTAAATCATCTAAGGCTTCATGAGATTTTTCGAAATACTTTCACTGATTAACATGATTACATTTCTGTGAATGAAATACTAGGTATGATAACTGTGGTTAGAAGTTTTGTGGACGTGACTGCGGGTACACACTGACATTCAAACAATAACAGAGAATCCTTTTTGTTCACTAAGTTGTACGTGCTCCCGGCCAAGGTTATTTCAAGAAGGTTCATCCGTTTACTGGGATATTTTACTGATTTGTTTTTTACCCTAACGATACCGCTTTATTTCCATGACAATTACAAACGGTCTGGTATTGTTTTTGGGACCAATATGACTACAATTGCTGCCTTCTTCTCTTTTGTAGTGCACATGATATGATATTAAAGGAATCGCCTGATTCATGGGAACCTGTTTGATGGATTAACGTAAGGAATGAGCTATTGTTACCTTGCCCTGTTATTCATTGAGGAATGTTAAGTACTTTTCACAAACTAACAAGAGACTTTGTGCTGGAATTAAAAAACTCAGTTTCTTTAGCTCGCGAGAGACAAAACAACCCAATGGAAATTGCATAACAGGTGAGACCGGAGCGACATTTCCCCACTAAATTACAACTCTTATTTTTGAGAAATTGGGTAAAAGATGTCAATTCTATATGTAAGAAATCAAAACCTCAGTTTCTTTAGTTCGCCAGAGACAAAACAACCCCATGGAAATTGCATAACAAGGGAGACCGGAGAGACATTTCCCCACTAAATTACAACTCTTATCTCTGAGAATTTGGGGAAAAATGTCAATTCTATATGTAAGAATGAACTAATGGTCTGTCAAAGAATCAGCTCGATGCATCTACATTGCATTACTAGCACCGCACTCAGCTTAGCTCTAGTCAACTTTTTCTTGTGCGGAAATGATCGTAACGGAGCTCAAAAACAGACCTGTCTTGGACTAAACAACAGGGCTCACTTTGTCCTAATTGACTATGTGAAATCACATCGCATTACGTGGATGTCTCAGACTTTTCTTACATGTAAACTGTACATATTTTTGTTTTTGTTGACCAACTTTGACAAGTATGGCCCAGAGAAGGCTTTGGTTCGTTGTATTTGCATCCAGCTTGACATCTCACGATCATTTCGTGTCAACGCAGTATTTTGGCTAAGAGACAAAGGAAAGCAATCACAACGAAAAGCTTGGACAGCCCCAAAACGGAAGTCAAACAATATTTTAACCACATTAACTGAAAGCTTTTGTTGTTTTTACATTATCACGTATCTTGCAAAGTTGATGCGAGATACTAAAACACTCGGTTGCATAAGAGCTAACTGGACATCTGTCCACCACTACTGGTTAAAATGTGAATGCCATGGGAAAAAGTCCATCAGTTCATTTGCAAATCATTATTTTAATTAGTCCTGTTGAAGCTTTGTCTAAATTGTGGCGATTAACATACCAGGCATTTATTTTCTTGTTTATGTTTCCCAACAGATCTCATTTATCAGAGTTTTAAAAAGAGTGAAGCAGATTTCATCGGAATTCTAAACGAGTAGTCAGCATTGTGGTACAACGTGAATGGTTTGAGCTGTGTAAATGGTTCTCGAGATGTCTGTTGAGAGGGTGGGTTCACCAAGAGAAGGATTGACACTCAGAGTAGAAGATTCACGATCCAGATTTCGCAAAGAGGAACTAGACATCGAAAAGCTACGTACATTTTCAAGATCTTTGGATGATATCACTTCAGAAACACTATACAGCAAGTGGAAAAGAGCGCGGGGGGAAGGAACCAAGTCACCCTCACGCAGAGGTCGAAGCATATCTCTGATTACACCGCCAAACATCTTGCGCCAGGAAAACCAAAAGCAAAGTAAACCAGCTAGGAAGAACAGCTTCCATGTTTTGCAAGAGAATGTTTTCAGACCACGGGGTTGGACTATAGCAGCAAGTCCCATGGAGGTCATCAATGAGCATTTTGCATCGCAAACACTAGATGTCAATAACAACAACGATACGCCAGCCCTAGATGGACAAGATGCAAAGCGTCTGTGGGGAGAAAGAAGAAGAAATAGGAAACAATTCAAGGTAACATTGCAGATTCCTCAAAAGCAACACAGACCACCAACATATACAGGAGCCGAAATTACGACGGTGACTCAAGGAAAAAAGTATCATGTTGATCGCAAACGAGTGATCGAAACCGCTTCGGAAGTTTTCATCAAACCCTCTCAAGTACCACGATTTGTTCCCGAATCTTCACGAGAGGACGAAAACCCTCCGATAGTGGCGCACCTTGTGGGTGAAGTAGATGATGCTTCCATAACAATGGAGGACTCATTTGCTGAGAAACCTTTTGACAATTTGTCAGCCGAAACAGTAAAAATCGAGCTCCCACAGCAGTCTGTTAGCATGCCTGCATCGCCAAACTTCCCATTAAGAAAGGTTCTTGAACATGCGTGGGAGGAAGTCACAAAAGACTCTTTTGGGGGTCTAAGTAAAGATATTATTGTCCAAGACGCCTCTGAGATGACAGCAAGCAGTGAAAGGTCAAAAGCATCAAAGAATACTTTCTCACTTGGCTGCACTTATGCAGTGGTCAGCCAACCAACGCGAGCGAATAAAAACACTGTCAAACCAACTGCACAAATGAACAGCACTATAATTACCAAAGAACAACGTGCCGAACTAGAAGAAGAATTCCAAAAGTTGAAGAAAGTTTCGCTCGAGTTGGATAGAGCTGAGTCTGAAGAGAAAAGATGCAACAGCCCAAATGGTTCTTCTGGAGTTAATTCAAAGGATATTTTGGAGCCACAGCCGTTCAGACGATTCTCAGAACTTAACAATCCAACTGTATGGAACTCATCGAGTCAGTCAACGGCCAGAGCTATTCTGCAGAATATTACAGACGTCGCGCATAAAACTGAAAAAGAGAGAATTCAGGATATCGAGTGGGCTTTCGAGTGGATTAGAAAAGAACTGGCTGAGCTACGAGCTCAAGATAAAGATATAATGCGGACATTTACAAAGATTCAAGCCGGGATAAGGAAAATCAAACTTCAACGCGCATTGAGCGGCGCCTTAGACGAGCCATACGAATGTGACATTGTGCACCATTCGGTAAATTTAAGCGCTAGCTTTTCATATGTTCCGCTAGTTAAAGAACTACACAACACGTTTCCGAGAAGAGCTAGTGCTATATGAACTTTCAAAGCTATCTAATCAACGGTCAAAAGTAAATAATTAATTGGTTCGAAATAGACACATGTCTAGGCCCGTCCGCGCTTTATAATTATTGACTCAAATTAATGGCTTTAATCTCTGTTACTGTAAGAAATACTCGGCCAAGTGTGTTGTTGCCGAGCGCGATTATTGAGTTTGAAGATCAATGCAGTAGAAAATACAACTCTTCGAAGAAAGGTACTTTCGGTAGTAATTGATAATAAAAGAAGCGTGTTTCACAGCTTGTTGAATATAAGCTAAGACAATTTATTGTGTTGTGATGTCTTATCTTTAAAAGTTTGAGATGCAGAAGAAGAAGACTTCGACCAACTGCTGAAGTCATATTCCTGCTGTGAGGTTAACGAAATGTCAAGAAAATGGTATAACAAATACGGGAATTCAAATTACTCCCTTTGGGGTCAATTTTTCAACAACAAATTACGATGGTCAAGTATGATACAGAAAGCTATCATTTCGTGCTCCAATTCCCAGAGCGTCGATCTCTTTCACAATTCTATTGTTTGACAGAATTCGAGTGTGTTAAGGTATTTATTCTCTGCTTTACTCAGGGGAAATAACTGAGGCCTGAACACGCCTCAGAGGTTAATAATAGTTTAGATTTACACTTAGAATCACGGCGGTGCAACAAAGTAATGCTTGCGTTTATTCATAGCAATAGATATGAGTAGAGTGCTTGGAAAATGCGAATAATGATGTTGTTGATAAAAGGTAAAAAGTACAATAGTGGTGTAAATGAAATGAAATCTGTTAATTACTCCCATGATCCGAGTTGTTTCCGGTACACGTGAGTTCTTTTCAGTTCAATCATGCAAGGTGAATGATTTTGAAAGGGCTTGAAAGAGTGGGCAAAATGTTTTAGCGCGTTGTCATAACGCAAAGTCAGCCTTTGAAATCTCTAGGCAACCAAAAAGAGCGTGAGGCTATCATAATTGTCATGTCTTTTGAAGAGATTTAGAAGCGTAGGTGTGGTAACTAAGAGCAGAGTGTGGTTTACAATTGGCTGTGAAATGTTTATTGTACTATAGCACAATGGTCTTGTATAATATATCATTACGGGTTTATTAAACAACAATAATGTGCACGAAAATTTGCAGCCCTTAAACGTGACCTATAGTCTCATTGCGCTTGATATAATGACGAAAATTGTTTTTAGAGATGTCCGGGGGTGAGGAAGGGTGGAGTACGTAAGAAGCCCTGATATACAGACTGCAGATGACAAGAACCATTTTTTCCTCTACCTTTCCAGCGTTTTGTTCAGTAATATATGTGAAAATATATTGACATCCTCGGTGAACAGGAAATATTTCTATATTATCATCCTGGATCTTTCAGGAGGATAAGAAAGCAAGGGAGACTAATTAATCTCGGGCAAATTTTGGCATTCCCATTTTGTTTTAAACTTGGTACACATTACCTGACATTAGATCTAAGGTTTGAACAACCCCCCTCCCCCGGGGGATTTATACTCTCCTACTGAGGAGGATAGGGTGGCAACTTTTAAGGCGCTCTTTTTTTCCCTCCTTAACCTGCGAACTGATAGCTTAAGAATGAATTTTCCATCAATTAAAGACCTCGAAAACAATTTGGGGTTAACATATTTTATAATACTTAATAAGATCTACGGGATAAAAAATTCTCGGAATTGTGACAAACTCACCGCAATGACTTGAGAGTGTTTCATGATCACAACATTCAAACAGAACATGGTAAATTGGTTTCAAATCCAAAATGCGTCAACTTTCTTTGGGATAATTTCTTTCTTTTTTTCTACACCCACTTTTCAGATCAGGCAAGTTTACGCAACTATGGGTCACGGTACAGACACAGCTATTGCTCAGCTAACCTCGTTCCCAGGGTCTCTCATCTTCCCGCCTCCTGGAGAGACCTTGGGAACGAGGTTGTTACTCAGCTAAGATTTCACTTATCATTATTGGATTATCAAACAACAATAATGTCCAGGAAAATTTACCGCCCTCAAACGTGACTTATATTGATTCGATAAAACCTAAGGGATGAATACTGCAAATATTCTCTGAATTTTAACCTCTTCGTATCATCGCATTGACAAGATAATGTTTCATGGTCACAAAATCCAAACTGAACTTGAAAAAGGGGTAAAGAAAAAAGGAAGAAATTACCCTAAAGAAAGTTGACGCATTTTGTGTTTGAAACCAATTTACCGTCAAGCAAGATTACGAAACTATGGGTCACGGCACAGACACAGCCATTGTTCAGCTAGGATTGCATTTATCAGTGTGGGATCATCAACTGAACAATAATGTCCAGAAACTATACAACCCTTCAACGTGGCTCATAGCTGTCGCATTTTGTAATTGAAACCAATTTAACTGTAGGCAGGCTTACGAAACTATGGGTCGCGACACAGACAGAGCTATCGTTCAGCTAAGATTGTATTTATTACCATGGAATTATCAAACAACGATAATGCCCAGGAAAATTTGCCGCCTTAACGTGGCTCATAGTCTCATTCATGGTACGGGATGAGATGTCGGGGTGAAGAAGGAGGGGGGGGGGAGAGAGAGAACCAATGACAAATACAAATGACAAGAACCTTTTCTTCTCGCCCTTTGTAGCGTTCTATAAAACAAGGTGAAAACATATCTACATTTTCGATGAACCGGAAATATCTCCCTATTATTTTAATAGATCTATTGAGGATAAGAAGACAAGGGAGTGCAATCACGGGTAAATTTTGCCATATGAATTTGCCGCAAACGTTGAACGCTTTAGATCTGTGTGTTGAATTAATTCCCTCCCTCCCCTCCGGCTTTATACTTTACTACTTGGGGGTATAGAAAGGGGTCGAGGGAGCCTTTGCTTCATAGAAGTGTCAAACTCTAAGGTTTTTCTCTTTTTCCTTTCTCAACCTTCGAAAAATATTTTAAAAGTAAATCTACCAGCTATTAACAGCCACAAGAGCTTGAGTGTCAGGTCTTCCTAAGGGGCTGGGGGATAGGAGATTGGGGGTAGGGGGAGGGGGAAGGGGAGAGGAGAAAGGAAGGGCGTTTCTTCCTTTCGCTCTCTCCCTTTCTCGCTTCTCTTTTACTCCTTTCCCCCAGAAAGGCTCCCAGAAACGCCTTATACTCAGGCTACAGCCACAAAATAATTTGAATGTAAAGAGGCCCTTTATGCGCTAAGTTGGCCTTGTCCGTCTGCCTGTTTGCTTTTGTGTTTGTTGGGACAAATAGAAGTTTTCAGTGAACTCAACATTTTATTTCAGTTTGAATTCGTTTGATTTCTACTAAAACGTCATTGATTAATTTCGTTAATTCAGTTCAGTTTTTCACAGTAATGCAGAATAATCAAAATTTTACTAGTTATAGGAACTAAAGAGTAGAACAAAGAAACATACTGTCTTTTGGTGACACTGAATATAATGGTTTTACGAGCGCCAAATATTTCAGACTGGGCTAAATAATTTATATTAATCATTCCATCAATCATCAGCTTTCATATACGACACAAGCAATTTTGGTATGGATTGTATATAGTTATATAATAGATACATTACTTTTTGGTTAATAGTTTACGTCTTCGTTCTTTTTTCTTACGATGAGGTGGAGAATTCTGCGTCATCGTTAACTAGTTCTAACTTCTAAACTTATAGAAGACCAACTTCTGCTCAATTCAGGAGCGACAAATCGGGTTTCAGTGAAGACGAAATTGTATGTTAACATACGCCTTTGTTCTTTTGAAAACTGGATCCTTTCTTTCTTGAGTGTTTTGCCCCTATTCATGCTTAAACGACTTATTTGTTTTCAGACTCCACGAGCTCTGGCACAACTAAGAGAAGTTGTTCTTGCAAAACCCCGCTGCCTGGTATTTTTTTTAGTGTCAAACCAGAATTTACACTTCACTTACTCAGAACGTCTGCCTATTCCACAATGGTGCGTGCGCAAGTGAGAACACGCACCGGCTTACAGAAACAATATAGTCAGTCTGCCAGAAACTGCTCTGTTCCCAAAGATGACATTCACGGAAAGGACGATCTGACCCGTCAGGGCTGAGGAATGGAAAGCAGCCTAAGTCTAACTATAACTTTAACATGACCAGCTTTTTAACTGTAACCTCTCTCTACATTCTCATATCGCAAAGATACTTTAAAAAAAATGAACAGCGAGCGAAAAGGGGGCCAAAGACTCACTTCTACCAAAATCCTCGTTGATTTTCGCTCGTCCGCTCTTTCCTTCGTCTCCTATGATCGAGAGCCTGAAACAGCCCGGCTTATTTAACAGCCCGGCTTATTTAACAGCTCGGCTTATTTAACAGCCCGGCTTATTTAACAGCCCGGCTTATTTAACAGCCCGGCTTATTTAACAGCCCGGCTTATTTAACAGCCAGGTAAGAAGATCCAAGGATCTTATTGTCATTTTCTCTCGTAATTTTCGAGGGATTTTGGCCTAATGTAAAATATAGAACAAACTTGCTTCATAAACTTATCTCACCTATTTTTCTGTAAAATACTTCTTTGTTTTACTTGAAGGCTACAACGCTTTCTTCTCAAAACGAACAACCTTTAGACCTCGTCGTCTTCCTCTTTCAATAAGTTTTTTCATGTCGTTTTGTCTTTATTTTTGTTTATTTGTGTTTATGTTTGTTTCCTTTTCTTTTCAGACTTAACTCTTGGCGACAGGTGTGAAAAATTTTCCGACATCAAAGAAGTATTCCACGTGATAAAGTCTGGTCGACCACATCTTGCTGTCGTGCATGTCTAAAAGAAAAACAAAAAAAATGAAAAACAGAAAATGAGAAAATGAAAAACAAAACAGGATGAGGACTTGATATTTCCACATTCACTCGAGAATAAAAGGAAGTTATCTTGTTGATACAAAGAATATCCTTTCGTAGAGAAGATCTGGAACTTAAAATGTCTAGGTAAGGTGTGCGGAGGTGTTTGAGATTCCAGCATTTTTTCGATTAACCCTTTAATTCCGAAGGGCGCTTTGCATCTAATTTCTCCTTGCAACAACACCCCCGAATCACAGATTAAAGTCCCGAGAATTAAGGAAATGATCTCCAACTAGAAAAGCTCTTGATTTTTAAACAAATTCATCTTGTCAGCACCTTAGGGATTCTATGGAGACTCAGCAGTAATGCACCCACCATGTAGGCCGCGAAAAATGATAAGCGCCTGGCCTCGAATAAACGCCCCCATACCTCCGATTTAACCTCAGTCACTAGGGGACTGAAACTGACTTAGCGCTACTGAGAGGCTTCCCCAAAAAGAAACTTTTCCTAATAGTATTTTAAAGGAACTTTCAATTAACAGTGAAAATTCTGCTTCGGTACAATTTCACGTTTTTACTGTTTCGTCGAAGAGAAAATAAAGATGAAATGAATGGAAGGAAGATAGTAATCTCGAAAGGACTCCGGGCGCGTTCACTAAAACTCTATTGATAGTACACCATTTTAACGGAGTGTACAACTGAGAAAAAGATTTTTGTACCTCATTGGAATTACTTCTCTCATTGTTTATGTCCTGTAGTTCTACTTTATTAGCATGGATCCGACATGGGTTTATGGCAATTGTCGCTTAAGATAAGCAGCTGCGGTAATTTCATGGGCAATGCTTTTGAGGTCACCGTGAAAATTGCAATTAAGGCCCTGATTACACGAGCCGAGCTGGCTCGGTTAGCCGTGCTGATTTATTTTGTTTTCACGCTTTGGCGAACACCAAAACAAAAGAAATCAGCCCGGCTATCAGGGCCAGCCCGGCTCCTGTAATCAGGCCCTAACTTTGCACAGCTGTACAGATTCGGTGATCCTTGTACGTGACAATTTTTAGCAACCGCTCTTATGCTGCTAACTACAAGAACCCCCGGACGAGATTTGCAGGAAAGAGAATAATAAAACGAAATTGGTGAGAAAAAAAACAACCTTGTTAACATAGAACCCACAATTTCCATTTCCTACGTGACGGCAAGATAATCGTGGTTCAACGAGCCTGCACTTCACTTCCGTTGTTTACTTCACGTTTACACTTTAACAAGCTTTACAATCTCAATTACAATTCACTTTGAAAACAAATATCTTGGTGTTTAGAAAATTATGTCACTTATTTTGAATCCCCTTAGGCAGTTTGCATGTTGTTTTCTTAGTATCGGATAAACTCGATCGGATCTGTTACCCCTCAATGCTGAGAAACTTCGAAATATTGTTTGTAGCTATTGTGCAGCGATTACAAAATCATTTAGCGTATTAAAGTTTGATTGCGACCACTTATGATCACACAGGTACAACGAATTGTTTGAAGTTTATCATATACGAGAAAACAGTTAGTTAAGCTTTCAGGAAACTTTTCACACCGATGTTGGAAGCAGTAATTAATTACAGCTAACGAGTAAATGCCTTGCCGAGTTATTTTAAGAGATATGTCTCTTTTTACATCCTGTGTTATTCCATTCTCTTAAACCAAACCATGGACCCAACAATTCATCTTTCAAAACAATCGAGTCGCTTTCTTTTCACGTCCTTGATGCAGATTTGTGACGTAAAAAAGGTTAAAACGAGCCCGTGGAAAATTTTAATGTGTCACGTTTTGGAGAAGAAAGGACAACGCGACTCGAGGACTGGAGACATGGGTGTAGATAAATTCAAGTCTGTCGCAACAGCTTGTGAAAAGGAGCGTCAAACACTTTTAAGTGCGACCATGTAAAATAAAACACAAAATTTTCCATTTTAGTGACATTTCAAAAAATCCATTTTGAAGTCTCCTGTGGAAAACTAACTCATTGATGATTCTTTATTGCATTCTTTCACGTAATCAGTGTGCAAAAATAGTAAGGGAGTATCTAACATGTGGGAAGACAGTGACTCAATATCTTTAATTCGTTTTTTTAAGCCTAGCTGTACAAGCGTAAGCCGAAAAAAGCCAACACGCTTAAGTATTAAGAAGGGAAATCCTGTGTACATACCTCGAAATTTTTGCAAGAAAATTAGCATGCAAACAGAAGCACTTACTACCCATTTATCGGATTTACCATCCCCTGGATTAAACATCATTTTGCGAGGAGAAACCAAAATAGCTCCCACTAAAAGAAATTCAGGGTTTGTCATTGTTTTAGATGTCTAGGAATCTTCTTAATTAACGACCTATTATGATGCAAGCTTCATATTGCAGCACAACAACGATTAAAAGGCGCCTGAAGTCTGACACTTGTCCAGAGCGGTGTAAAAGTGCACTATCAGAAATGTCTGTATGTAATACTTTGAGGTTCCATTTTGTTTGATCGATAAACAGTAAAGGAAAACATTTGAAGCTCAGCTTGCACAAGTGGTCGACCCCACTGGTATCGTTCCGTCAGATAAGTTTTTCGAAGAGCTTTGCGTAATGAAACACTCGTAATATTTTGGTTTCGTATCGTGCAAAACGTGACTACTTCAAGACACAAAATATATTGAGAATAACATCCTCTTAGTTATACTACAAAGGCGGTTGAGCTGCCTTTATGTTTATTTTGGGAGCACTTGTGATCGATGAATTATCTTTTCGGATCAGCCAACCTCACTGCTGACAGAAACAAAGGTGCCTTTTGATGTTAACGTTCGAAGTTGGTGAAGTGTTTCATAAATAAACAGTTGTGCGGACATCGTAGGCAAAGGAATTCAAAATTTAATCACACAATAATGGTGCAAATAAGGAAATAAAGACTTCCAGAGAGAATTTGTTAATTTTTGATGGGTATGATTTCGCTGGTCAATTCTCCTATAAGACGATAGAATGTAAAGTCTTAAACCCCAAACCCAGCAACAATGAGAAACATTATGAGTTGGTGCATCCGCTTGAACATATTTTGAGAAACAGTCGGGTTTTGATCGAGGTAATCGGGGTCTGAAAAGTGCATAAGTGCTGATTCAGGCGGCCCAGCTCCAGGCTTTTGGTAGATAAAAGGCATTCTTTCACAGGACCATGGAAAAACTATAAACGCAGTGTTTTTTAATCAAATTTGAACTGACAGATGTAAGGCCGAGGAAGCTTCTCAACCGGATTAGGCAGAAAATCATGCATTGATGATCACAGAATAAGAGAGACCTGAGTTCCAGTCGGCGCAACCTTTGTGAAAAATTGTTTTAAAGTCTTTAAAGAGTTTAATTATCTGTATAAAAGAAAACTCTGAGTTTAAATGAAGAAACATGAAATAACACACTGCTTCTATGAAAAAGAGAAAACGGAAGCAGAAAATTCGTACAACTTTCAAAGTGCCAAGGGTAATATGAGTGGCTATGGCAACCGCTTTAAGTACATTAGATTTTCCAAAGCAAGGCCCCTATCTACGTGATGTTTTGACTAATCCAAGAAGAAGGAACTTCCTAGAAATGTGAACACAAGGAAGCTGATACGAACCTTCCGTTTCACGTTGCAACTTCCTTTCAAAATTCCCTCATAACACTTGAGTCAAACCTTCCGCTATGCTATGCATTTGTTGATCGGCTTGACACCTTTTACGGGTCATTTAGTCACGTTTTCGTTGCAACGCATCTGGAACCAGTGAAGATTTTGATTGAGATATTTTTTATTTACTTAGAACATTTTTGAAATTGAAAGAATTTTTGCGTATCTCAAACTGAAAATGAAACTTTTTATTCACGGTGCAAATATTAAATGAACGCCTCCTTTTCAAGTTTCTCCACTAACACTAATATATCTGGGCACAGGTTATACCAAACATTTGATTACCGAATGAAATGCTTTGATGTGCTTGCACCAAAACAAACTTGAAAATTTATAATTGATTTGACGTTGTGGTCAAATGTTTGCATTGCGTTTCTTTTGATGAAGGATTACTGCAGTTTCACCTCGTGACCTGCAAGGCGTAATATTGCTTTTCGAGAATTATTCCTCTTTCAAAAACACGCAAAGTCAATTCAAAAATCGACACTAATCTATCAACATTTCCTAAACGTCTTTGTTCTTCAAGTTCAATACCGTCTCAAGCGTTAAAAAGATCTGAATAAGCTTTCATGATCTATTCTTAGTTTGTTTGCGATCAAATGATGGCCAGATTGATTGTTCATCGGAAGTCAACGAACATCTTGAAGTATCTATTTGCTTTCGTTATCCTCTAGTGGGGTACTGTTTTCTTTCAAAACATTTTTCGTATATGATTACTACACTTGTTTTCCTAAATCCGAAGTGTTTACCTCGAATCCTGAGGCTTTTAGGGAGTTCCAAGGTAATTTGCAACACAAAAGGCTTTCTTTGTTAGAAAGAAAAACAATAAAAGCTGTTTGGACTTTGAAAAAAATTGATCAATCGGTTTACATCGACTGTTGCGCTAGAGTGCTTTTTCCCACGAAAACATTTTTCAGAGGACAATGAAATCGATCATAACAAGTTAGAGTGCGAGGACAAGAAAACGCACCATAAAGTTGCTAAATATGTTTCACTTCTGATTCATGCTACCAAAGAACTTTCATGTACATATACAGACTTCTTTAATTTCGAGGTGCGATACAAAACAATGCCGGCCAAAACAATTTGATACCTGTAGCGCGCGGCTGAGCTAGAACATTGAATGTAAACCAGCACGCCAAGTTTAAAGTACCGAAACAATGTACAAGTCATGGGAGTGTGTCCGAAAAATACATATAATAAGAAAAAAAAAAACAAGTTTCTCAACAGCTTACTTACCGACAATAAAAAATATTTTCCTTTCAACACCAGCTGAATCGTCTCGAGTGAGAGTGTGTCAACCTGTCCTCAGTTAGCAGAAGTGGTTGGACTCGCGGGGTGCTGTCCACTTCATTGCGGTCAATGCAGGTGGCATCAAATTCTTCCGCCTTCAGTTCACTTTTCAAGTTCACTATTTTCGCTCGTAAACTGATAAATAAACTGACGAGGTCCCTGTCTGGTGTTTTTATACGCTTAAGTTCCTCAAGGATCCACTTTAGCGCTCTACTTAATTCGTCCAGCCTTTCTTTCTTACTTTTATACTTTCCCTCTTGCTGCAGCCTGCTGAGGAGCTGTCGAGCTTGTTCCAGTGCACTCTGCGTGCTGTAACCGGACAGTTTAGCTGTAGCGGCAGAATCATTAAACGAGCGTGCTGGATTTAAAGTAGCGACTGAATATCTACGCGCGGGATGGTTTCCACTTGCGGGGTACGAATCCAACGATTGCACCGAGGAAAATCGTCGGATAGGCCTTGCGGTGTTCAAACTTGTGTGGCTGTCGTCCTTGAAAGGAGCCAAATCGCCGGATATCGGCTTAGCTATCAACGTGCCATCGACGGTACTATCGCTGTCAGACGAAGAGTGATACGAACTGTTCGATGAAAAAGATGCCTCACTGCTTATGTCGCTAAACACGTCCTCCATAGAGCGATCAACGTTTCCTTTAAAATCCTCCACCTGTAATCCTGGTCTTACTTTGCTGACTCCGTTGACTTTAGGTCCTTTAAAACCTTGCGCTTGTGCAACCAATTTCTTCCACTGGTCGTCGTCTTCGTTTCTGCTACAATCAGCACTTTCTGTATCCTTTACATCGCTATGACATCCTTTGTCAACATCACACCCTCCAGATTCTTCATTCGTACTATTTCGCGGCCTCGGCAACACAATGTTAACCTTCTTGAAACCTGAATACCCTGCGACGCTGTGAAAGTAACCATCAGAAAACCGGCGACGATTCAGAGAGGAGGCCCTGCTGATGGAATTATTTGCGGTAACTGAATTGGCCTTCGTGCTGTCGTCATCCGCGCAGTGTTCTTCCGAGACAGCGCTAAATATTGGAGCGCTTGTTTTCTCAGAGAATCTAAGAAAACCGTCCGAGGCGCGTCTTCCATTGCGAGGCTTTGACCATTGTGATAGAAACGTTACATTAGAAGCGGGAGTGACACGTCGGGTCGGCTGCTCGTTAGTAATTTGAAATTGGGGTCGCACCACTGCCTGCGTATCCGTTTTCACTTCCCTATTTGTTGCGCTGTTCCTCGACAGTTCTCTTCTCTCGCTGTTGTAGAACCGATCTGGGTTTTCAATCCCTTCGACTCTTCTTGCGGTCGGAAAACCCTCCATTCGAACATCTCCAAGGGAGATAGAATGCCTGATCTTCACTTGATTCCATCCGTTGTGTCGTTCTTGGTCGTGTGTCCCACTTACTTCCCACGTTTTGTACATCCCGTCGCTATCCGCAGTACTGTTCTGCCACAGCGTGTTTTTATACCTGGTCTCCTTCATGCTTGCCACTCCGCACAGCATTCTTTGAAAATCTGGCGCTTCACACACAAGTGAGAGCAAACACTTTGTGACGTGGTGTACTTCATAAAAAAGAGCATGTGATTATTCAAACGATACTAATTTCCTCCGCGTTGTTTTTTTAGTTATATTGAGCAACTGACCGCAAATTAGTCTAATGTCTAGATTGTTCGCCTGTCGATCTCTTCATAGAGGAACATTCCACACGTACTGCAGCTTGGTAAATGCAATGATAAAGAGAATACTTCTGGCTGTTAGATTTTGACAGCTTGAAAGTCATCCGCCTATTGTGAGTTAATAACTTTTGTATTTAGTAATAGGAGCAGCACGTAGTTCATGACCCTTGCGGAAACTCAGTTACCCCCCTCCCCCAGGGAGACAAAATAGAAACAAAGAAACTTCGTTTTAAGATAATCACAATCACTGCGGGGTTTTTTTGACGCACCTGCAATACTGGTTACTCGTCTTGAAGGCTGCAATATGCAAATAATCGAACAGTTTGTGTTTCATTCTGGACCAATATAGTTTTCATTTTCAGTGATAACCAAGTTGTCTCTATCGGTTTGGGGTCAAATTGGTCGGTTTCTTTTATAACTAGTCAGCTTAGATACTGTGAAAATCATTTGACTCACAGGTCAAGATGTTTCTTTTAGCAATAAATTGCAATCAATCACCAGAACAACTAAAAGACAATCTGTATTTAACTGGGCTCTTGAGCAATGGTCATAAACCAAAATTTCAAATATTTCAACCCAATAGGAAATAAAAAAATTTCGAATAAAACAGCTAAATAAATTCGAAATTGCTGAAATTCTTACGAAATCGCTAATCCGACAACAAATATGTTTGTCACCAGGATCAGCACCACGAAAGATTCAAACACTGAGCGATTTTTAATTAAGTTTGCCTCTTTTGTTTTCGAAATATTGTAAATACAGAATAAAACTTTGCGAGGCATAATTCGAATAATTTCCCCCAAAAAGCATTGGTTGAAAAGTCAGCATTTCTGACTTCCAGTTTCAAAGAATTTAAATACCAATTTTGAGTCATTCAAAATAAACTAAGATAACTCGCCTGGCTTTACATACTTTTTCCAATTAAGTAATTATGAAGCCACATGGCATTAAGAAAATTAACAGTTCAAAAAAATTAACCCTTGTAGTTATTAATGTCATTTGACGTCAAATCGTTCGGCTCAGGGTTTCTCTATCGGGTGGAAAAGAATAGCATACTAAATGCTTCGATTCAAAAGCGGATATCCGCCACTGCAAGTTTTGTATAGTGCACGCCTTTCTCAACAACAGACGGACCGTTTCGACAAAGGAATCTAAAACGTACGTCGTAATTTCAAAGAACATAAATAGAAGGCGTAATTAATTTAAACGACTTATTCAAAGAATTTTAAGAAATTCATAAATATCATGTATTTTTAAGTGTCCTAAGTCGATAAGTATGTTCTAATTTCAAAGCGATTTGTAGCTAATGAAGTCCTATTGCACAAGTTATCAAGAGTACTTGTCTGACGGGGGAATAGGGTGAAGAGAGGGTAAACTGGTACTTTTTCTGAGGGGAGGGGATGGAAGGATAAGTTTATATTCACAGAATTCCCATCGCTGCCACTATTCAATCAATCCGAACGAGGTGACAAACAAAAATGTTTGAACAGCCTCATTGCCAAAAACGGCTTTATCATAAAGTTCAAACTTATGGCTTGGAATGACTTCAAGAGCAAATAAATATTTGAGTACAAATCAAGACTGACCCGAAAGAATCGACGGACTTTTCGTGCAAAAGCGAGATATTAACTCTTAATTCGTTTTCAAAAACTTAAATATCGTGGATGAAGGAAATTGTGTCACAATTGAGCAATGCTCTGCTTAGCACTTTATATTTGGGCTCTAGTTCGTCGTATAGAAGTCGAGACTGATGTAATATAAAGATCTTTGGCGTCACCGTTCCCATGTCGTGAGCCTCTTGAGGTCTCTGAATAGGACTGAATGATGATTCACTTAAACACTACTTTTCAAAAGCCTTAAAAAAATAGTTTTAGTCCAATACGAAACCGGTCAGTTACGTGCCAAAGGTCTTTGTTTCCTTCCATGATTGGACAATATACGAAAATCTAGTATCTTATGGTTGGCTTGTATCGAGGGTAGGAATTACGCCGGCAATGGAATGGATCACAATGGTGAAACAAAAGATTTAATATAATAACTAGAACAATAGCTCTGCTCGAGCAGTTAAAAGCTTAAACATTGCATAGTCGCCCTAGACGAAATATCAATGTAAAATCACAAACGTTTTTGTGTTCTGGGAATAGGAAACCCCGACGAATTATCCTTCGTTTTTCAGTTTAAAGTTTAACGCAGCGTCATGGTGTGATGAAGCTGAGGTCTGGGATCTTGAGAGAGGTCTGGGATCTTGAGGTCTGGGATCTTGAGGTCTGGGATCTTGAGAGAAAAAATAAATCCATTTATTTTATTGAAATTTTCTTCGGAGTTGCTCTCCCGATTGCTTATGTTCCCTTGTGCATCAAACAACCTATTATAAGAGTATACGGAACGAAAAATGTCTTCCAATGTTAAAAGTTAAACGGTATAGGGGGACTGACTATGCGTGGTTTAACTTACGTTTTACATGTTTGACATTCAATTATTTTACAAGAGGAATATTTTAGTGAGTTTTAAAAGTTTGACTTGAAATCTTCAGCTATTTCATCATCAGCATGTTCATTCAGTTCTGGTGAGAGTCCTTTCAACTCCACTAGTTTCACTTAAAGAACACTTAACTAAGCCGAAAGTCAACATCTTTGTGATATTTGTAAGTTTTCCTAAAACAATTCTCTTTTGTGATCAACTGCGATCAATTATATGGGCCTTGGTAAAGGCACATTTTCGCATGAAAGACTGAATAAAATTAGGGACAGCCAGGAATAGTCCATTTTCTATACACTGCTCCGAAAACGCATGGATATTTATCCTCTGTCGCCTCTAGTGAAGTTATTACAGGATCAAGTGAAACGATTCAAAACTTCCAAAGTTATTAAACAGTAAACCTTTATCTTTATTCTTTAAGACTGATCGGTATACAATATCTTCCATAAATATTACATCATACCTATATTCTATTGTATTATTATCGTTTCACTATATTCGAATTGATTTAAGTCGATCGTCAATCTGAAAACTGCGGACGATTTCGGCCTAATAGTTTAATCGCTGTATTTCAGACTAACTACATTTAGACGGTCTAAGAAATTGTTATTATAGTGCCCTGAATATTCATGATCAGATGTGAGTGAAACAAAACCATCGACAATGCAACGTTTTACACAGTCTTGCAATTGCACCACAAAACGAAAAAAAAAAGAAAAAAAAAAAAAACCTAACAAGTTTTGGCTGAAGCTTCATTGCCAACACTTTGGTCCGTTCGTGCGCATTATAATTTTGAGGGTTAGTTGCACATGGTAACTTAATTGTTTACCAGGGGCATAGAGATTTGGAATTATACTAAACACGGTAGGTGGTAAGTTTATTTACAAGCAGTTTGGAGATCATTGCTAGTCTCTGGACCCGGAAACTTTCCGACTGGGCACTTTGGGGTTGAATCCTAAACGATATTATGAAGTAATTAATATCTCCGTACGCCTTTTTATATTCGTTTAAAATACAAAAACCTCGCTAACAGTTGCTTTATGTCTTGGAGCAATATTTTAGATTTCGACGATATTTCAAGATCTGACCAGTTTTGGTGTTAATGATCGCATGGGTTCATTTACACATTGTTATTTAACAAATAAATATAAAACACACTGTGTTAAAAACTATTTACGTCATAAAAACGTGTAGAGAGCAGATATGGCTTTCAGGGACTTAACGTACGGATGATGAAGCAATATATCTTTTTTCTTCTCGGTGTTTTGTGAATTGCTTGTAAAAAGATGACTCACAAACGACAGAACATCGTTTTTTAGGCAAATTAACGTACTAAGCTTTAACCCCAAAAAATTATAGTAACTGAAATTGGTTAAGAGAGAATCACTACTATTTTAGAGCTTTTACTTTGGGAGACAAGATAGCGAAAATGAAGGGTGGAAGGGGAGAGGGGAGCGAGGAGGATAGAGGGGTGGGGGACTATCGGAAAGGAGTAAAGGGAGTACATTACTAAAGAAACTGTGGTGCTACACGGAGGGGGGGGGGCATTACTTAAGGTTAGGGTTGCAGTTGATCGTTTACTAAGCGGCACCGTATAAGCGGTCACCCGCCAAAGTCGTGGAAAAGGAGAAGGAGAGGAAAAGGAGAAGGAGAGGAGAAGGAGAGGAGAAGGAGAAGGAGAAGGAGAGGAGAAGGAGAAGGAGAAGGAGAAGGAGAAGGAGAAGGAGAAGGAGAAGGAGAAGGAAAAGAAAAGGAGAAGCAGAGGGAGAAGGAGAATGAGCGAGAGAATGGGAAAAAGAAGGAGCAGGAGAAGGAGAAGGAGAAGCAGAAGGATAAGCAGAGGGAGAAGGAGAATGAGAGAGAGAATAGGAAAAAGAAGGAGCTGGAGAAAGAGAAGAGGAAGGAGAAGGAAAAAGAGAAGGAGAAGGAGAAGGAGAGGGAGAGGGTTCTGGAGAGGGAGAAGGAGGAGGAGAGGCAAAAGGAGAAGGAGAAAGAGAAGGAGAAGGAGAAGGAGAGGGAGAAGCAGAAGGATAAGCAGAGGGAGAAGGAGAATGAGAGAGAGAATAAGAGAAGGAGAAGGAGAAAGAGAGGGAGAGGGAGAAAGAGAAGGAGAAGGAGAAGGAGAAGGAGAGGGAGAAGGAGAAGGAAAAGCAGAAGGAGAAGGAGAAGGAGAGAGAGAAGGAGAAGGAGAAGGAGAAGGAGACGAAGAAAGATAAGGAGAATTAGAGGGAGAAGGAGAAGCAGAAGGAAAGAGAGAAGCAGAAAAGGAGAAGCAGAAGGACAAGGAAAACAGATTTGTTTCGTCGACAGCCTCGGCCAAATTTCATTAGAATCGTCGCTTTTGACAAAATTTCCACAGACTGACAAATTTCGTCATATCCGTTAAAATCGTGACCAAATTTTCGTTATTACTGCATTTCAGGAACGTATGGTATGGCCCGGAACAGTACGGAGAATACGCATAATAATAATAATAATAATAATAATAATAATAATAATAATAATACAGCATTTGTAGTGCGCAAATTCCATGTGGATATGCTCAAATGTGCATTACAACATATCACTATTTAAATAGTTTAAAACTAAGAGAACAATAATAAATAGGTTAGGATCACAATATATAGAATAATTAACATATAATATAAAATAAAGTAATTAATATTAGGCAGATTAATATTAATATTAATCTTAGGATGTAAAGGATTACTTTAAGTTTGCAGTTATCGCACTAAACCGGCGGAGCTCTTCACTGCTCGTGTTATATTCCTGATATCTTAATTTCTTGTTGAATGAACTTTTTTTTATCCAGCGTTATTTTCTCCCTATATGTATTTGTTAACCCTTGCACTCCCAACAGTGACCAAGAAAAAATTTCTCCTCACAACATCAGTACAATATCAAGCAAACAAGTGATGAGAATAAAGAAATTAATCAAAAGGGGTTATTTGGTTGATCCAATACCAAATTCTCCAAACTTACTGGTGACAATTGTATGGCAGACAGTAACGAGAATTCCTAAGAGGATCTTGGAAGTGAAAAGCCTTTTACCCTACATGACAAAGCCTTTTACCTTACATGACAGAAATTTGGGACGTGCCAATTAATGTTTATTTTTTCTTTTAATTTTTTTTACAATGAAATGCATACTTTCAATATGTCGCGTTACTTAAAAAGTACATACTAAAATGCCTCCCTATAAGCTTTATTTTGATTGGGATAAAATAAACAATAAATTACAAGATCAAACATTCAAACAGACAAAAGCACTTGATTTGTCGTCTGCGGTCACAGAGCAGGTGCATCAGATAAAGAAAGGCCGTCGAACAAATAAAAGATCTTTTTCATTTTATTTACAATTCATTTATGATTAAGTTTTGCCGCAACAAAGCGAAAAAACAATTCGAATAATTAGACCTGATGGCTGGATAGACACCTCAATCTTATTATCAATTTAATCTCTTTAAGATTAAAAAGGCTTTTCAGTTTAAGCAACATTATAATGTCTGGATTTTCTTCTCTGTCGAGCGGCGCTAAGTATTTAGCACGCTACAAAAGGTAAATTAAAGTTTAAATTCAAAAAGAAAAAAAAATGAAAGTTTGAAAAGTAAAAAAGATAATTACTATCTCGTTAATTAACAACTGTTTCCTTATTATCGCGTCAAATTGAAATAAAAATTGTGCTATTTCTTTGCTTGAGTATTACCGATAGCAGCTTTTTCGTATTAAATGAAATATGCTTTAAAATTGATCTGGTTTAAATCGCTTATATAAACTAGAACTCACCGACGATGCAGGCGATTTGCACATTCTACATATTATCAATATCGCATAGTGGCGATAGGATCCTGTGGGATCCTATAAAACTTGCACCAACGAACACAGGCAAAACTATGAGACAACCCGTTTAATTACGTGAAATCATTGGTTCAGATCTAGACGTTTCAGCGACAAATCTTATTATCGTATTAAATTAAACTTTTTTGCAGTATCACTATTTATAGTTTAAACAGACACAACCATACACCTTTATTTTATCAAAAACATTAGTTGTTTTGAATATCCTGTTTAATCATGGTGAAACTCCCATAGTTTTCTATGTACTTTGAAAGAGCTGTTACGATATCGAAGCAAGCCAAGTAGGTTGAAAAATTCTCTAGAATTCGACCAACGCACTTTTCTATTTTAAAAGCGTTAGACAGTCATCATTGTTAGCATACCCCTGTTAGGGGATAAGACGAGTGGAATATTAATTAAATCCATTTGAATAAACTCTTCTGTCTTTGATTAAAACACAGCGCTTACAACAACAAACAAAGTAAATATATAGTTCGCTTTAAGCGATCAGCTTGCTCTCGTCTCAAAATGACGCTAGAAACAGCCTCCATCGTCGAGGCAGCCGTGCTTATTTTCATCTGCGCAACTTCTATTCTGGGCAATATTAGTTTGTTTTTTGTCTTCACCAGACGAAAAAATCTTCGCACCATCTCCAATGGTTTTCTTCTGAACCTCGCATTTGCTGATCTACTCGTGTCCGTGTTAAACATGCCAATAACTGTGGTCACTATCATCAAAGAACGTTGGATTTTTGGAGACACTGCCTGCGTTTTCTTTGGATTTATCACGATGCTTTCGTTTGTTTCATCGGTGATGTCGCTTGCTATGATAGCTATCAACAGATATTATTACGTAGTGCAGTGGAAGACATACTCCATCACCTTCACACCGAAAAGGTCGGCTTTGTTTGCCGCAGTCGTGTGGTTAATATCTGTTTTATTATCCGTCCCACCGTTGTTTGGCTGGGCGGTATATCGTTATATTCCTGGGAAATCTTACTGTTTCGTTTTCTGGCCTTCTGATGTTTATTATATGTATTTTATGTTAACGATATGTTTCTTCGGTCCCTTAATTGCCATGTGTGTATCTTATTTTAAAATTTTAAACTTCACAAGGGAAGCAAAACGAAGGGTTAACCACTGGCAAAAAAATGTAATACAGCAACCTCAGGAAATAGAAGAAAATGGCATTGCTTCTCATGAAAAGCGTAGAAATTTCTTCAAAATGACTCAAGAAGAAGTGAAAATCACAAACACTTTGCTAATAGTGGTTGCCTGTTTCATGGCTTGTTGGGCGCCATTTGCTATCACAATGTTCATTGATGTTTATCATCCTCGTCCATTGCCAAGAGCAATTGACATCGGAACACTGTTGCTTGGTTACGCGAACAGTATGTGCAACCCTGTTGTGTATGGAATAAGGAATCAAGCTTTCAAAAGAGAAATTATTAAGCTTGTCACAGGCTGTAATTGTGCCCGTTTTCGTGCAACTAAAGTGGTTAACGTGAACACTTTTCAAGTCAATTCCCTGATGGCTTGCCAGATGAACAAGGTTCAAGCGCCAGTGATGCTGGAAGTATCAAAACTGTTCATTGAAAGAGTGAGCGAAGAATCGAACTCACTAAGCTTTTTATCTTCGCCTAAGAACGTAGAGAATTTGACAGACAGCACTCATATTGATCAAGATAAATAGGATCAGCTGAATCTTCTTACTTTTCTCATCTCAAAGTTAATAATAATAGTAATAATAATAATAATAATGATAATAATAATAATAATAATAACGGTTTATTCACAGTATATCCACATAAAAGGTGTGGCTCTTCATCTGTGAAGGCCTACGATACTAATATATATAATTTATCAACCAAGTGCGAGGGCCGTACTGGGAGAATAACGGCCCGAGGTCTTGACAGTACGGACCGAGCGCAGCGAGGTCCGTACATATAAGACCGAGGGCCGATATTCTTCCAGTATGGTCCCGAGCAAGCTTGGTTAATAAGAGATTTATTATACGACTGAAGTTCAAAGGGACACAAGTGCGGTATCATTCGGGACCATTCGGGACTGTGCCCGGTCCAATATTGAGAGAATATTGACCGGCAATAGAGCATCTTGATTGGTTGATTTTAGTTATTGGCCCTCTGACTGCCCGAGTCGTGTAATAATTAATATTAAAACTAAATTATAATGACTAACTAAATTGTAATAAATACTATACATGAAAGTAAATATGTTATGTTAGGACTGGAATTTCGAGTGGCTGTTGTGATATAAAAAAAAATATACCCTACATATCATGCATGACATTTTATCAAGAAGATTTCTTTTTCGTTAGAGTAGAAAAACACCAAAGAGGTAAGGATTGCCTAGGCGGGAATAACGATTGTTGAAGATAAAGAGGATTTAACTGGTTAGGGGGTAAAAGCGGCGTTATTGGCTTCCCATAAAATAGCAATTATTTCCATCCTTTAGACAAGTGCTATACTTTACGGAGTAAAAGTTTTTAATTGAACTAATGTGATAAATTTATACGCCCTCCCCATTAGGAAAAAATGGATAATAAGCTGTTGCAGTATTGAGCAAAAAAGAACAACATATCTTTCATATAATGACCTGCGTCAGGTTATTGCTGAAACATGTAATACCGGCTCCTATATGCTTACGAGCTCGTCATTGTTTTCGGAAAAGTGTATTTTTACAGTTGACAACTATGTGAAAGTAAGCTGTTATACTAAGTAAAAACAAATTAATCATTAGACATTTACAATTGGTGTCAGGTTGACCGAATAGCTGGGCTTATGCGAGAAAATTCATGGCTTGGCTTGACTGTATTTTGTTGACAAATGATTAACTAAAGGAAAATGATAATAAAGTGTCGCGACTTCCTTCCGATGTGGTCACCTGACATGCAGAAAGAGAATTCAATCTCGTCTCTAACGATCTGTAAGTTAAATCTATCGAAGAAAACAAAGTGAGCTGCATTGTGAGGCCACGTGTCACTGATACATATAGGCTCAACGAAGCTTTTAGAAAATTATAAACTTTTTGATGATGATTGTGAAATATGTTCTCCACTTTCTCTACCTCCCTTGTGAGTTTGTTGTCACACACAACTGTTATATAGAAGCGAGAAACCAAATCACATAGAGCTATGAGAGCTTGCTTTGCAACAGCACGGAAGCCGCTCGTCATACAGAGACCTGTCCGCCAAAAGGTTACGGAGAAAGATATTCAGTTGATAAATAGTCGGTCCTCTAATAAGTGTAGTATGGTAACGCTGAGTGGAAAAGCTGAGCAAGCCACCAACGTTTTTGCAGAAAGCACACTGAGTCTGCATCTTTCTTTTTGATTTTTCTTTATTCTCTGTGGTATCTATGATCAATGAAT